AAAAACAAACGACTCGAAGATCAGTGGAACAGATTAGAAGATGCAGGAACAATTCCAGACATACTCAGCCACCTTTTTTTTTTTTTTTGCCTTTTTGAGACAGGGTCTCACTATGCAGTTCAGGCTGGTCTTGAGCTCACTTTGTAGCCCAGGCTGGACTCAAACTCACAATGATCATCCTGCCTCAGTCTCCCGAGTGCTGGGACTACAGGGCATGTACTACCACTCCTGGCTAGCCACCTTATCTTTGACAAAGGCACCAAACACATTCACTGGAAGACAGGTAGCCTCTTTAATAAATGGTGCTGGAAAAACTGGCTCTACACATGCCAGAGATTAAAATTGGACCCCTGTCTTTCACCATGCACTAAACTAAATTTGAAATGGATCAAAGATCTAGATATTAAAATAGAAATGTTAAGGGCCAGAGATATAGCTCAGTTGCATAAGCGCCTGCCTGGCAAGCACAAGGTCCTGAGCTTGATTCCCAGTACCAAAAAAAAAAAAAAAAAAAAAAAGAAACGTTAAATCTGCTGGTAGAATAGGTAAAACGCTAAAAGACACTGGTATAGGCAAAGGCTTTATGAATAAAACCCCAATCACACAGGAACTATCACAGAGAATCAACAATTGGGATTTCATTAAAAAGATTTTGCACAGCAAGAGAAACCAAGAGTAAAGAGACAACCTACAATGTGGGAAAAAATGTTTGCCAGCCATTCCTCAGACAAAGGATTACTACTGAGAACTATGTATAAACAACTCAAGAATATCAGACCTCCTAAATTTAAAGACCCAACCCAAAAATGGGCATCTGAGATGAATATGCACTTCTTAGATGAAGAAATACAAACAGCAAATAAATATATGAAAACAGGGTCAACATCACTGTCATTTGAGAGATGCAAGTAAAACAACACTGAAATTCCATCTCACCGCAGAAAGAATGGCTATGATCAAGAAATCAACCAATAAGAAAAGCTGGAGGAGGTGTGGGGAAAAAGGAACCCTTTT